GGTTGGCCAGTGGATTGGATTTAAGTTAGTTGCACGAAGTCGTCAGCCTTGCCGTGTCTTCCAAAGTCATCGAAGTCCAGTGGCAGGACAAAAATCAGAGCAGCTGTTGACGATAGGCCTAGTAGTGGCATGTTTAATGACTTTGATCATGAGTAGGTGTATTTTAATGACTGTGGGGGGCATGGTTCCAAATTATTTTCCAGAATGGCTGGACTGGTTCACAGCTCCACCAACAATGTACCTGTTTTCCCACAGCCCCTCCAGCATTTGTCATTTTCCTCTTTTACCATTTCTGCCAGAATGTTAGGTTTGAGGTAGATCCTCAAAAGTTGCTTGGATATACATTCCTCTGAGTATTGGTGATTAAGAGCATTTTTTATATGGTTGTTGATAGCTTGGATTTCTTCTTTTGGAAACTGCCTAGTATTTCCTTTGTTTACTTTTTTTTTTTTTTGGCTTGGCAATGGGGTTAAGTGACTTGCCCAGGGTCACACAGCTAGTAAGAGTTATGTGTCTGAGGCCAGATTTGAACTCAGGTCCTCCTGAATCCAGGCAGGTGCTCCATCCATTGCACCACCTTGCTGTTTCCTTTGACGTTTTATCCATGAGGAATGGCTCTTTTTTTTTTCCCCCCTTAGGCAGTTGGGGTTAAGTGACTTGCCCAGGGTCACACAGCTAGTACGTGTCAAGTGTTTGTTCTGAGGCCAGATTTGAACTCAGGTCCCGCTGACTTCAGGGCCAGTGCTCTATCCACTGCGCCACTTAGCTGCCCCAGGAATGGTTCTTAGTTTTATATATTTGGATCAATTCCTTCTATATCTTGGAAATGAGACCTTTATCAGAGAAACTTGTTGCAAAGATCCCCCCACCCTCAGTTTCCTGCTTCTCTTTTGTTTTTCAACTGCATTTACAAGTTTGGTCTTTGTAATTTTGCCACATTCATTTTCTTTTTAAATACTAGTTTTTGTTGATAACTTTTTTTTTTTAACATTTCCAAAAATTTCCCCCTTCTCCTTCCAGAGAGCTATGCTATATAACAACAACAAAAAAAATTTAAATGAAAAAAAAAATCCATAGACACTCAAAAAAATCTGATAGTACGTTCACACCCTCCTGTCTTCCACCTCTGCAAAGGAGTGGGGTGGGACTGTCTTCTCATAGCTCTTTAAAATAAAAAAAATTGTTATCACAGGTTATTACATTGCCTATATTTCCTCCTGTATCCCTTCCCATAACAAAGATTATTTAAAGAAAGAAAGAAGAATGGCTGAAGAGAAAAAACAACCCGAAAGCCTGCTCTGACATTGGATGGATCTGACAATATACACAGCCATCTGCAGAGGAATCAGGGGAGGGGGCCTCTTCTGGGTCATTTGCAACTTCTTTTGTTTTGCGTGTGGTCATTCTTTCTATTACGTATGTTGTTGTCTTGTCTCCGTTTACTTCACTTTGCATCAGATCGTGTGAATCTTCAAGTGATTCTCCATGTTCATTCTACTCGTCATTGCTGACAGCCCAGTAATATTGCATTATATTCATGTGTTTTTCAGTCGTGTCTGACCCTCTATGACCCCATTTGGGATTTTCTTGGCAAAGATACTGGAGGGGTTTTCCATTTCCTTCTCCAGCTCATTTGATAGATGAGGAAACTGAGACAGATTAAGTGACTTGCCCAGGGTCTCACAGCTAGTAAGTGTCTGAGGCCAGATTTGAACTTATGAAGATGAGTCTTCCTGACTCCAGGCCCAGCCCTCTATGCACTGTGGCGCCACCCAGCTGCCCATTCCATTCATGTACCACAATTTGTTTAGCCATTTCTCTGTTGCCCGATATCCACTTCTGTTTCCAGTTCTTGGCTACCACAAGAAAGTATGTCTGCAAATATTTTGGTGTATATGAAGCCCTTTTTGTAAATGGCTTCTTTGGAGTGTAGACCTAGAAGTGTTACCTCTAGGTTAAGGATATGAAAGTTTTAGCCACTTTTTTTGTGTAGTTCCAACTTCTTTTCCAGAATGGTTATACGAATTCACAGTTCCACCAACAATGCACCAGTGGGCCTGTAATTCTTCCACACCTCCAACATTGACTATTCCCATCTTTTATCATCTTTGCCATTTTTGGGGGTTTCAAAAAATGTGCATTTCTCTTATTATTAGTAATTTGGAACATTTTTTCATGTGATTGTTAATAGTTCGCATTTCTTCTTTTGAGAACCAGTCATATCCTTTGATTATTTATCTATTAGGGAATGGCTCTTGGTCTTACATATTTTTGTTAGTTGTCTATATATCTTAGACATCAGATTCTTATCTGAGAAATCTGAGGCAAATGTTTTTTTCTATTTCACTGCTTTTCTTATATTTATTAATTTTGTTCCTTCAGATGCATTTTGTTAATATTTGATGTAGCTCTGTAAAGATACAAATTATTTTTTAAAGTATACATTTTATTTTACTTTTTTAAACTACCAATACATTGTTTTGACCCAATAGACACTTGCCAGCTGATTCCCAAAGAAAGTCCTTTACAGAGTACATTCTTCCGGTTGTTAATAGAAAGGAGAGATGTGCTTTCACTTTGTCAGTCGATTAAAGTCAGTTTGTTAAACTTACTATATGTCTGTTACCCTACTAAGTGCCAGGGATACAAAGAAAGACAAAAGTAGACCCTGCCCTCCAGGAGCTTACAATCTAATGTAAATAACTAGGTATGGACAAGATTTATACAGAGTAGATGAAAGGTAACTGTGGGGGCGTGGGGGTGGGAGTTGGGATGGTAGAAGGTGGTATTTGAGCTGAGGCTTAAGGGCCAGGGAAGCTAGGAGGTGAGTTTGAGGAGGGAGGGCATTCCAGGCATGGAGCCCCGCCAGTACAAAGGCCTGGAGACTAGAGATGGAGTGTGACTGGCTTAAGGGCTGTGGCCTTGGAGGTTGGGTGGAGGATGGATTAGGGTGGGGTGAGTGATTTCAGCCTCCCCAGGGACATCTCCCTCCTCATTTATGGTACATGGGGATGGCCCGGACCGAGGGGATGCCAGGGGTCAGGAGCTCAGGCAGGTGTCACCCAAGTAGCCATGAAGAGCAGTGCCTCTGCCCTGGCCCAGCCCCAGGGATGCACGGCCTCGCACCAGGGGCCTTCCGAGGGCCCCCTAGCTCTCAGTCTGCTCCTGTGACTTTGGCTGGAGGAGGGCTATCAGAGGAGGCGAAGGGCCTCGGAGGCAGGAGGGGATGGAGAGTTGGAGGCCCCGGGCTCAGGTGGCCTGCTTCTGCCACAGCCCGGCTGCGTCAGCTTCTCCATCCCAGGCTGGAGTCGGGGGGCTCTGGGTTCTCCCAGGACCGTGTTGGAGGTCCTGGGAGATGGTACCATGGGAGGGTCAGTGGGAGGAACTGGGAGTGCTTAGCCCGAGGGGAGACGTGCCAGGCTGTCCCCACGTTTTGGAGGGGTTCTCCCGGCAGCAGGAGCTCAGTCCTGTTCAGCCTGACCCGAGGGGGGCGAGGCCTGGAGGGGGGACATTGCCAAGGGCAAATTTGACTTGAAGTCAGAAAACTTCCTAATGATTTGATGATCAGGATAGCCAACACTTACATACCTCCTACTATGTGCTAGGCAACGCGCTAAGCATCTTACAAATATCATCTCATTCAATCCTCACAATAACCTTGGGGGGGGGGGGGGTGTGCTGTTATTGTCCCCATTCTACAGATGGGGAAACTGAGGCAGGCAGGTGAAGTGACCTTTGATTTCATTGCCTTGGAGAGATTTTTGGGGAGGAAACGCACGTTGTCTACAGCTCTGGGCGGGGAGGTGATTAGCCCGGGGTCACTCAGTCAGGAGGCAGCTCTCCTTCCACCCTACCAAGCCAGCCCTCTAATAATGAGAGCAGTGAGATGCTGGGAGAGGCGGTGAGCTCCCCGTCAGCGGGGGGTATTCAAGCAATGGCTTGTCAGGGATAGTGGAGAGAGGCTTTTTAGTCAGATGGGTCTCGGGTCCTTTCCAGCTTGGAGACTGTGATTTTGTGTTTTTGTTTTTGAGCACAGCATCTAACAAAGACTCAGAAGAAGAAATGCTGGTTTTTTTGGGGGAGGAGGATCCTTGAACAGGCCTATTCATTCATTTGTTCATTGATTCATTGATTCATTGATTTGTTCGTTCGTTCATTCATTCACTTAAGTGCCCTCTCAGTGCAGAACTTGGACTGGGCTGTCCTTGAGTCCTTGGTCTTGGACCCCCTGGCCTCCACCATGGCTCAGGCCTGCTCACCACCCCTGTACCACTCACTGGCTTTCAGTCCTTCCTCCCCGGGCTGCGGGAGGGATTCTGCTGCACGGTTCCCCACCCCCTCCATGCACTACGGCGCCATCTGGCGGCCCCTGTATTTAATTACCGTGTATTTATTCTAGATATATCCATACCTATGTGTACCCATTCTCCTCTGTCTTCAAATGTCGGCTCTTTGAGAGCAAGGATCATTTAGGCAGTGAGGTGATGGAGCTCTGGGCCAGGAATCCGGAAGACCCGAGTTCAAATCCTGCTTTAGACCCCGGGCAATTCACTTCACTGCTGTCTGCCTCAGTTTCCTCAGTTGTAAAATGGAATGGAGATAATAATAGCACCTACCCGCCAGAGTTGCCAGGACCAAATGAGACACTATTTGTAAAACGCTTTAAAGCCCAAAGTTATATGTGCCAGCTGCGATTGCTTCATTTTTTTTGTGTAGCTCCAACACCTGGCCCAGTGATTGGCACATAGTGGGCTCTTAGTAAGTGCTGCTGATGGTATGTTTTGAACACACCTGTATGTGGGTACGTTGATGCCTCCCCGCAGACCGTAAGCTTCTGGAGAAGGGGAGTTGTTCCATGTTAAAAAATCTTTGTTCTGCCTCGCTCCTGGCCCAGACCCGGCGCGCAGTAGGTGCTCCCTGAGGCTGCTGGTTGGTGGGGAACTGTTGCCCTGGGCTGGCGGGGGCTCTCCTCATGAACTCTTTGCCTCCTGTCTTGTCAGTGTACCGGCTGCTGACCTTCCCACTGGGCCACACGGCCCTCCCGGCCCTGCTGCTGAGCCTGCTTCTCTTCCCCACCCTGGGCTGGTACCAGGAGAGCCACCTGGGCACCCTGCGCTACGTCCACGCCTCGGCCCTGGGCGCCCTGGCCACCGGGCTGTTCTACCTGCTTCTGGCCGGCCTCGGGGTGCCTGGGGCAGGCGGCAGGGGCTGCGGCTACACGCCCGTCCACCTGGCTCTGCTGGCGGCCCAGCACCGGAGCCGGACCAGGCTGCCCGGGGGGGTGGTCCCACCTCTGCTGCTGCTGGCCCTCATGCACCTGGTGAGCTCCGAGCCCCCCTTCCTGCTTCAGCTGTGCGGCCTCCTCGCGGGCCTGGCCTGTATCTTTTGGTGGGCGTCGGGGCTGGGCCCAGAACCCAGGAGGGCTTGGGCCGGCCGGCCTCTGTGCTGGTTGGAACACACCTGGAACCTGGGGCTGGGGCTGGGTGCCAGAGTTTAGGGAGGGCTGGCCGGGGAATGCCCCGAGGGGGCCTGGAACCTCGAGGCGTTGTTGGGGTGCCAGCATCATTTAGCCTGGAGATGAGAACTCTGGGGATTGGGGGGGGGACGTGATAAGGGAAGGGGAAGAAGGATTAGGGCCAGAACTTCAGGGGGTTGGGAGGCCTGGAGGGGCAGGAGGTGGGTCCAGCCAGTTGGCCCATCTGACCGGCTCTTCTGGACCCATGTACCAGTGGGGGTGGGTCTAGTGGGCAGGGAGGCAAAGGTGCAGAGGTGGGAGAACAAGGGGCTGCAGGGCCTCCTGGCGCGTATTTCCCTTGACCAGCCACCCCCCTCCCCGCTGGGGGCTGACGCAGACTCTGCTGGGGTCTTCCGCCGGCTGGAGCTCTCGGAGCGCCGGCTCCAGGCCCTGCAGAGGGCTGGTGTCTGCAGGGCGCTGGAGGGGAGCTGCTTGCTGTGTTTCATCCCAGCCCCAGGCAGCCCGCTGGAGCTGCCCGTCCTCCACCCTGCTGGGCTGAGGTGAGCCCCTGGCCGGGGCAGGGATGGGGGGGGGGAAACGGGGGCAGTCTGGCTCCCTGGGGGGTCGTTGGAGGGCCCAGGGCAGAGGCTGAGCCTCCCACCGTGACGGGCCCCTGCTCCTCCAGGCATCCAGATCCCGGACCTCTTGGCAGTTTGGTGCCGGGCCTCTGGGCCCCAGACCCCCTGTCTCCTGGCCTGGGGGCTGGGCCCTCCTTGTTTGAAGGGGCCCCTTCGTGGGATGCCCCCAGCCTCCCTCTGGAGACCCCGCTCTGGAGCCAGGGTGACATCATGAACGAGGAGCTGCTGCAGGCCGCCATCCATGCCTCCCTCCAGGACGCGCCCCTGCGGGCTACGGAGGAGCTGAGGTTGTCCAAGTCATCGGTCTCTTCCCTGAGGTGAGGCGGGCGGCGGGAACGTGGGTGCAGGGCGGAGTCCCGGGGCCTGGGAACTGACGTGGAGTGTTCGTCCCCACAGGCTGCAGCAGCTGGAGCGCATGGGATTCTCCATGGAGCAGGCAGTGGTGGCGCTTGCAGCCACAGGGCGCGTGGAAGGGGCCGTCTCGCTTCTGGTTGAGGGGCAGGTGGGCGATGCAGCCCAGGTGACCAGAAGTGAGCCTCCCAGGGAGGGCCCCCTTCCACCTGCCCAGAAACAGGAGCCCGCCAGGCCTTAAGGAGCGTCCCCCTGATGGCTGCACTGGAGTGGGAACAGAGGGGGCAGCCTGTGTGCGTATGGAGGGGTGTCAGGGTACAGGCTACTCTCAGAGGCCATCCGATCAGCTCCCAGCAAAACACACACACACACACACACACACACACACACACACAC